TGCCCAAAGGCCCACCCAGCTTGGTCTTGAAGATCTCTGGGAACAGGACATCCACAGCTTCTCTGGGCAGCCTGCACCAGAGCCCACTACCCTCGCTGTGAGGAATTTGTTCCAAATATCTCATCTAAATCTACCCCTTTCTAGTTTAAAGCTGTTACCCTTTGTCCTGTTATTATACACAATGACAAAGAGCCCCTCCCCAGCTTTTTTTGTAGGCCCTTTAGGTACTGGAAGGCTGCTATAAGGTCTTGTTGAAGCCTTCTCTAAATCACATCCTGTCTCCATAGCTCAGGTGTTCTAGGCCTCCAAGCATCCTTGTGGCCTCCTCTGGACCTTCTCCATCAGCTCCATGTCCTCGGAGGGGTCCCTAGAGCTGAACATGGCGCTCATGTGGGCCCTCAAGAGAGCAGAGGAGAGACGTTCTTGCAGTTAGACAACATCAGGCTTGCATCTCATACATCAGTTGTGAGTGTTTTGGTGTTTTCTGGGTTTTGTTGTGTTTTTCCTGTTTCTCAGGTGTGCTAAGACATGGGCATCCGTACAACTAACTGTGCTGCTTTGAGAAATATAGTTCAGATTATGTTGGGTGAAGAGCTCTTGCCCCATTCTTTGGATATTTGCATCAGAAGAAGTTGAAAGGCAATCAGCTCATAAACACACCTAAACCAAAGGAATGGAGCGTAGGCAGCTGAGGTTTTTGGTCTCTTTTGCAGTACAGGGATCACAGCAGAGGCCTGCTGGTTTTCCTAATACAGCAAAGACTGACTGTTGTACTTCTGCTGTGCTCAGCAAATAGGAAGTGTTGAAGTATAGATGTGTTTTGGCCCCTGAAAGGAAAGAAATATGGTAAGCTTTTGTTCCTTCACTCTACAGTGACTGTGCAAAACATGAACAACTAGGACAGTCATAAAATCATCATAGAATCACTATATAGCTTGGGTTGGAAGGGACCTTCATAATAATCTCACCCCACACTGCTGTAAGAGGGGTGACACCCACCAGGCCAGGTTGCCAAGGGCTTCATCCAGCCTGTCCTTGAGCTGTTCCCCTTTGTCCTATCACTATCAGATAGGTTGGTCTCTGTCCTGTTTATAAGTTTGCTATAAACACTGAGAGGCTGCAAAAAAAGGCAGAGCAGAGAGTGTCAATCAGTCTGCACTTCGCATTGTGAACATATAAATGCTTTTTATCACTCAAACATGGAATTTATTTTCTTTTTTGTGGGGAACTGTGGAGGCCTAATGCTAACAGACAGCTCAGCACTACTGTGCTGCTCTCTCACTCTTCCTCCTCAAGAGCGCAGAGGAGAAAATACAATGGAGAAAAGCTTGTGGGTTGAGATAAGTACAGGGAGATTGCTCATCAGTTGCTGTCACAGGCAAAACAGACTGCATGAGGGAGATTAGTGTAATTTATTACCTATTGATAACAGGCCAGAGCAGTGAGAACTAGAAGCAAACTGAGGGAATGAGGGCTGTAGTCGCTCCTTAATGCTTCGTATTATCTGTTTCCTTTGTGGTTGCTCTCTGCTCCTGTTCCATGTGGGATCCCTCCCAAGGGATGCTGTCCTTCCCAAACTGATCCTGTGTGGGCTTCCCACAGGCTGCTGCTCTCCAAGCACTGCTCCAACATGGCTCTGTACCACGGATCCCCTCCTTCAGTCACTGCTCCAGCACAGAGCCCTATGGGGGGCTGTTTCCCCAGACCTCCTGCTCCACTATGGGCTGCACATGGAGCTGTGCTCTGCATGGTGTCCACAAGCTGCAGGGGTCAGTCTTTTCATGGGCCTCTCCTGGGCTTCACTTTCTTTATTCAGCCTGCCCCTCTAGTGCACAACCAGCGTTAATTACTTTGGCCTTGGATAACAGCCATACCACAGGGTCCTGGAAGATGTCTTAATGCTGCTCATGCTGCTAATCTTTCCTGTCATTCCTATGCTTCGCAGTGGCAGATTTGGAGTTGCTGTGTTTCTTATTTCTCTTATCTTTCACCTTTTTCAAGTTAACGTTGGCACTGAGACCACAGTGCTGAGATGTCTCCTTCAGCACAGCTTTGTGCTCTGCTGTGCTCTGCGTTCTCCCTTCACCACCAGGTTCCCATTACAGCCTTTCTCCAGGATGAGAATCTTTCTGCTGGGTGAATGAAACAAATGATTGCAATGTTAGCAGTCACCTTCATTATGGGGCAATCTTGGTGGGCGAGTTTGAAATCCATTGGTAGCTTGTAAGAACTCTATAATATGGTTAGATAAACAACATGAAAATGTGCATGTGTGAGGCAGGTTCATGTCTGTGGGATGCAGCTTGTCTCAGTCTAAGGCTGGTGAGTTGTACCCGAGAAATTACTGCTTCCCCTATTGATTATGAAGAAATGAGATGAAGGTCAGCATGCATCAAGTCAATCTTGAAAAATCTGAGCAGACAAGGACCATCTTTGAACGGTTTGCTGTGCTTCTCAGAACCACTGCATGGTTAATAAGGAAGAAAGTGCTGCTTTGTTCTGAGAACCTTCACACATGGCGTTGAACTGCAATGGTCTTTGGGATCTGGCTGCAAACAATGGCTTTGGGAAGGTCAGGCCATTCCAGCGCTCTACTTGAGATCAGGGAACTGTAGCACAAAGCTGGCAGCAGTGCTGGTGGAGTTGGGAATTAACTGCACTGCTGGAGGTCTAAATGATGGGATGTGCTGGAAACGTTTGAAGGCTGCAGACTGTACGCAATCTGAAGTAAAGGTGCTTGTGGATATTTTCTGCACAAACATCACTGAAATGTCTACGTGTGTTGGATCGAAGCCCAGCTGCACAGCCCAGTGCCTTGGCTGCCCACCCAGCAGTGCTTTGGGCAACTGAGATTGGGAAATCACAGAAAGTGTGAGTGTTGGCATTATTTAAAAGGTAACTGTGTAACACTCTCATGTGTAAAACTGGAGAGAACAGTAGGGCCATCACTTAAGCTGCTGTTTAGGAGGAAAATATAATATAAGCATCTCCCACTAAATTTTCATTGAATCTTAGAATGAATTGGAGAATCATAGAATGGCTTGGGTTGAAAAGGACCTCAGAGATCATCTGGTCTCAACCCTCCTGCTGTGGGCAGGGTCACCAACCACCAGACTGAGCTGCCAACAGCCACATCCAGCCTGGCCTTGAATGCCTCCAGGGATGGGGCATTTTAGTGATCTGTTACTGAAAAAGTTTAATACTGCTGGTCCCAATCTGAACTCACTGGCTTTTATGGTTTTAACTCCAGTGTATCAGTGCAGCAGGCCTCAGTTTTTCCAAAAACCACCTTGTAAACCTGTTGGGATGGCATCTAACAGAAGATTTGAGTTTTCTTTGGCACAAATCACTTGCTAATAAATCAAAGAACCAGGGCAAGAACTAATCTTGTATTTTTACCAGCCAGACACTTTTCTAGGTGGTGTACTTTGGTGCTGTTTTGTCTGAGAAAGAGGAGTAATAGCATGAATTTGGAGATTGCCTGAAGCATCTTAATCTCAGTGTTGTGCTAGAGCTTGACCATCTGAATCTTGCGGAAGACTTGGGATGTGAGTTGACAGTGACCTCTTACAATATGTGATAGCTTTTCTTATGGAAACATACGAAAGGTTCTCAGTTTGGGGCACTCTGAGTGTTCTTTTTTTTCTTTCTTTTTAACGAAGGCCCATCAGAACCGATTTAATTTGCCCCAAGGTGGAGTCAGTCTGTGTGACCTCATTTCTGTCTCCTATGTTCTCTCCAAATACTGCTGTTGCTTTTGCTGTGCTAACAGCAGGTGTGATGTTGCTGTGTTGGGAGCACTTGGTGCATCTGCCTGCGGGGTTTTATTGTGGTTTCAGTATTCCTGTTGAGTTAGCATGCTCCTGTGGTGCATTTCCTAATGCTTGTTTTACTCAGTACCTCCCTGTGTCAGTAGGGTGCCTTAATACCTCTGGCACCTTTCTATTTAACCACTTTCTAGAAAATCGGTGCATGCTGTGTGCACTACAGTGTTATTTGTGGTGCTGGGTATTTTTTTTTCCATATGGTTTCTTCAGTTTCAGCCCAGTTTAGGGATGGATGTGGATCATCATTGCTGCTCGTGGTGTGCAGGATGGTGTGGCAGAAAGATCGGTGAGTTCTGAAGGCAGCTTTGAGAGCTGAGCTGAAGTCAGGGGAGCAGGTGAGCTTCTTGAGAGCAGGGCAGAGGCAGACTGGCTGTTGAGAGATTGCAAGAAATACGGATTGCTTTCAGAAGTCCCACCTCAAAGGCTGGGGTTTGCATGCAGTAGGGCAGCACCAGGTAGCAAAACACTGAGTGTGAATTACTGAGCTGCAAGAAGAGGTGATGCTTTCTGGTGCAGACTCAGAGACTTATTCACTTCTAGAAATTGAAGCTGATAAATTATAACTAAGTGAAGTCTAAATAGGTGTTACGCTGAATGTTGTATTACACTAGATTTCACATGGAGGGCTTTGCAAACTTTTTCCAGGGAGATTATACTGAGCAGTAACAGACTTCCTCTTTGCCTACCTGTATTTTTGTTTGTTGCTGCTTTTCTGGGTACAAATTCCATTGACTGTGAAGCCCTTTTATTCCTGGCTGTTGTGGGGAGGAGCCCCTTAGCACGGAGCTGTCATTAGATCTTAAGGTGTCAGTGTGTAAATGCTGTCTGTTCAGCTCACGATCATCAGGCGATTGCAGCTGGTACTTCTGTGCTCTTTGGACCAAAGAGCAATGCCATGGATCTGGAGATACTCGTTCAGCAGAGGTTCTCACGTGGCATATTCACATAATGGAACGAAACAGATTTGGTTTTGCTGAGTTTTCTAAGCCTTTTATGGAAGTAAAAGGCTTTAAGGTTTTTGTTTGGCAGCGCATGTGGTTTTTGTTCTGTTTTGAATAGCAGCTACCTCTTCATAACTGTGTTTTTTCCTAGTAACTGTGGAAATCCTTCTGCTGCTGTCTGGTGTGCTAAATTAAGAGCAGAGATTTATGTAGCTGTTCACTCTCTTTGCAGGTAAAGAAAGCCTTTTTCGCCTTGGTGGCAAATGGTGTGAGAGCAGCTCCACTGTGGGAGAGTAAAAAACAGAGTTTTGTAGGTAAGTTGTTCTAACATAATTGAGTTGTATTTGAATTTTCAGCATGCTGCACTCTACACTGTTGTAGGAGGTGCTCTGGGTTTAGCCATGGTCTGACATCCTAAGAGATGCTGGTGGGTTTCTTTGTTTTCTCTTGTGAGGCACGAAATGTTGCCAGCTTGCATAGTTCTGCTGTTCTTTGACTATCACAATGACTCTTCGAGGTCTTGAGCTTCTGAAATTTATTATCTAGTGTATGCCTTTCCCTGTGCACTTAAAAATAACTGTAATGGTCACAAAAAAAGAACTGTGAAAATAAGAACTGTGGAAAGAAAAGTATAATACCAATATGCATGTGGTTCTCTGCGTGTTCTCAGTAAGGTGCACTGTGAAATCACTGATTACCAGAACTAACTTGGAATGCCATGGGTATTATATCCCACAGTGGAAGAAATAGATTTTCTTTTGTGAGATTGAAAGAAGAGGAGAAGCACGTAGGTTGTGGCTTTGAATATTAATTCACAGTTCTATATTTTTATTGGGAAGTTTTGTATCAATGTGAAAATTTATATACGTAGCAAATAGGCAGTATGTTGCACAGATTTATTGTTAATTACTTTATAGAGAGTGACTATAAATGGAGAAAATAACTGAAGTTCTGTGTTTTAAGTGTGTGTCTGAAGAACTTTCTTTCTGTATCACTTTTTGTAGGAATGTTAACAATTACAGATTTCATTAACATACTGCATAGATACTATAAATCTCCAATGGTGAGTATGATGTTAAGCCTCTCTCAGTTGTCGTACAGTACAGAAAGTGAAATATCAAACTGCTTGAAGGATGGACTGTAGTTATTTTAAGTGTCTGGAAGCTTAGACATGTCATGAGTACACTCATAGAATATTTTGAGAGAAATGCAGAGCTCGAGGTATATGGATACTTCTATTCAATTCCTGGCTGTAACCATTAAGGTCCTATGAGCTTGGGCAAGTAAATTGTTTGCTTCTGTTAGACATGTATAAACATGAGGAATTTCCTTAATGAGCACTGCCATTTATTATGTTTTGTGTGGTGCTTCACCATGAGAGCCTTGGGTTTGGGTACCAAGCTCCATTTGGAATTGGAATTGCAGCTGTTGTCTATTGCTCTTGGAATGAAGGACCTGCAATAACCTATTCATTAAAAACTAGGCATGGTATAAATATATGAAGGTGAAGTACTTGATTATTGATCACTGTATGTGTTTTTGTCCAGATTGTTTCAAAGCACATGAATTAATATTAATCAGAACTCCATTTAAATGGACAATATCAAACAATAGGGCTGGAGAGTGTTTGAAATTGTAGGAAAAAGTTAGTTGTATTTAAAAATCAAATATGTAGTTACACAGTGGCTGGTGTGTTTTTATTAATTTATACCTTTATAATAAATCAGTGTTGTCTCATAACTGATAGTTATTCTGAAAGGAATATGTGGAGCTGAGCACAAAGCTGGCTTATGGAGCCTTGGGGGGATTAAGAGGTTACTCAAATCTTGAAGTGGTGCTTTAGAATGAATGAGTTAAACTAGTTAAAGATGCACAAAGGTTTTAGTTGTGTGGCTGAGTTACACAATCAGTTGAAGATCTCTTGACTTCAATTAACTGTAATTTAAAAATTCCCATTGGCAGTTGGTTGATGAGATTCTCTTGCTTACATGTTCATACGAACATTTACATCCCTTTCTTGTTCCTGTCAATGCCAATTCCCCACTTTGAATTAAAGTATATGTACTGTGTTTTACTAGCTAAAGAATCAACAGTTGGATGGATCAGGCTTCTGATATATGTGGATGTAGCTCTGGGCAGCCTGATCTAATGGATGGCAACCCTGCACATAGCAGGGGGGTTAAAACTAGATGATCATCATAGACCTCCTCAACCCAGGCCATTCTGTGATATCAGACTTCTCAAAGTTAGGTGATCGTGTCTGTTCTTGAAATTTACATTGATATATCTTGCCAGATAACCAGTGTTCCTGTGCAGTTTCACTTATGGCCTAGCAGTTGCCATTCCTGTTTGAGCTATCTAACATGCTGTTGTGTAGAAGTCCATAGAAGAGGTTGTGCTAAACACAGCCTCTGGACTGGGGAAGGGTGAATAATTGAGAAGTGGCAACATCTGTCCGAAGGGTGACTGATGCAGTCTCCTGTAGAAGGAAAAAAAAGAAATAATAAATGTTTGGTTGGGGGATGCTCTAGTCCTACTAAGTGCAATTGTGCTGAAAATTCAGTTCTTAAGTATTTTAATCACTTAAGTATTTTAATCACTTCTTCTAAACGCACCACATCCCTCACAGTGTGAAGCATATTACTGTTCATGAGCTAGATAATATTCTTGAATGATTGATCAGGAAAGTTCAGGTACATTCATGTATATGGTGTCATCACAGAGCTAGACTTGGCCTCATCTTCTCAGCAGCTGAGGAGTTCTCCTGTTCTTCTCATCACTTGGGTAGACTGAACTGTGCTCCACAGGCTTAGCTGGCTTCTTCTTTAATCTTCTTTTTTTTTTTTAAATACCCTGAAAGAAGCCTTTACTACTCATCTGGACAACTTTTATACCACCCAGAAAGAGTACGTTGAGTAGCCCAATTTATAGTATGATAATTTAACGTTCCCTGACACTCTTTGAAGGGTGCCAGTTCCAGGGTGATCCAAAAATGGTCTCCATTGGTTCACAGAAGAGTGGAGTAGGTTTTGTGGAGGCTCCATAAGGCCTTACAGAGGTACATGGCAGAGAGGAACAGTGCAAAAGACAACAGGCTGCTTTGGCCTATGCTAGGACAAGCACGGCTCCTGTTCAGAGTGGCTGGCTTGCAGCTTGGAACCTGAAGAGAAAAGCAGCTTCTGCATCTTAAGCCCTTTCAGAGAACCATGAGCAGTGTGGAAGGAGCTAAACCAAGTGCATTTGTTTGTTTGTAGTTCAGCAAACGTAAAATTAATCACTTTTTAGCATTAAGAAGTGATCAGGATAAGCTCTTGTTCAGGTGCGTGAGGGATTATCAGAGGGTTTCCTTTGGGGTGATTACTTCAAGGTGAGTCTAGAAGAGATCTGGGCTATGGCTTGGGCAAGTGAAACATCTTTCCTGTCCTCTGAGATGATAGGTCCTTTGTGATTTTCTGCACCAAGCAGGATTGCACACTTTTCTCTTGATATTGCCAAGAAATGTTATTCTGGTCTGGGCAATTAGTTGGATTCTGGTTAAATTGCCTGCAATGAAAAATAAGGGAATAATTCAGAGATAAATAATATTGTTAATTATTTTGGGTTTAAAATTAATACCTTCCATCTGTCTGTTGTAGGTTCAGATCTATGAATTGGAGGAGCACAAAATAGAAACCTGGAGGGGTAAGTTCATTTACTGCTCAGTTGCTAGTTTAAAGTCTATTAACTTAATGTTAAGTACAGTAGTAATTTTTAATTAATCATAAAAAGTATGTGGAGAACAATATGTTATTAAAAAGCAGGAATAATAAAAGCTTGTCTGCTTCTTCCTGGTACTCATTTTTTTTCTACCTGAAACAGTACATGAATGATTATGCTATTTATTGCTTCACTACTTTTCCCTGTTCAGTACCATCTCGATTTTTCTTAAAAACAAAATGGAATCACACCAGGGGGTGTATCTGGCCTCAGAGGTGATGGCTGTACTTGGAATGGGAACGTAACTGAACTGGGGTCCAAAATGAATACATGGCTGTAGGTATTGAGTGAAGTGAGAGTTGAACAGCAAGCTGTGCTTGAGAGAGCTGCACACTGTGATTACAACACTCCTAGGATGTGGGTGGATGTGAGCAGAAGTGCTGAATGCAGGGAGGAATCTTCATGAGAAAACGGACTGCGTGCCATGTTATTACATAGATCAGCCCTCTGTGCACAAACCAACCTGCTCAGAAAAGAGGAAATCAGCAAATGATTTGCTGTGGTTGCAGTGACCCCTGGTGGTAGTCAGCTTAATCCTGTTAAAATTTCAACTTCTCTTTGTTGTCGACATAGATGAACATGCACAGGTGGTAGAGTATCTGTAGTCATTGCATTTGATTGTCTCCTCTGTTCATTTAATTTTGTGCTAAGGAATTCATGAAGTGCTTTTATAAAACTGCTGATGCTTTCCCATAGAAATGGTAATGGTTTGCTTTTCTATGCACAGAACTTTATTTACAAGAGACATTTAAACCTTTAGTGAACATCTCCCCAGATGCAAGGTAGGATTCTGCTTTCCATTTTGCTTAACTTGAAAGAAACTAACTCCATTTCAACACTGAATTTGAGACTTCTTTTGCATAGAGAAACAGCTTCTATTGTAAACTAGAGCAGGAGAGTGAACTTCTGATTCTTGCTTTTATTTTCTGGAATAGGATTGCTTATACCATTTAAAGTAAGCTGGTGAAGGGAACTGTAATGATTATCTCAAAGTAATTGCATGTAATATCCTCAGTAGCATTGCTACTGTTAAGCCATGAACAGGTTATTCAGTTTTGTCATAAGGAATGTGTCTGAATGGAGCTGCTTGCATGGACTATCCTAGAAAAGATAATTTGAAATGCCTTAACTTCTGTAACATTTAAAGGTAATGCCATTAACAGTGTCCTTTCTATGGGTTTGTAAACCTGTATATGCATCACTTGATGTTACTCTTTCTCAGTTACCATTTATTTTGAAATATGCTTTTTTCCTCAGCCTTTTTGATGCTGTATATTCATTGATCAAAAACAAAATCCACAGATTGCCAGTTATAGATCCTGTCAGTGGAAATGCACTTTATATACTTACCCATAAAAGAATCCTCAAGTTCCTCCAGCTTTTTGTAAGTATTTGAAGTTCTGCTTTGCTTTAACTGGTATTTTCCCTCTACCCACCCACCTCAAGCCCAGTTAGACCACTCCAATGTTAAGCAACGTGTTCAGAAACTTCATGGTAATCTTCTGTGTTTGGGCACTTTGTTTCTTTGTGTATCTTTTCTGCTAGCATAAAAGCTAAGGTGATGCACTGTAGTCTAAACATTACCTTTACTTGGTTTTAATCATCTGAAAACAAAGAAACAAACACCCAAACAAAAAACACCAGGGATTTGTCTTGGCTTTTTCAGTATTTTGGTATTGTCTTCTGGATGATCTCAGCTTCAGGAGCTTGTTTGATTACATGAGTAGAATAATGACTCATCTCTTAGAGCCAAGCTTAACACAAGTTACTGTACTGTATGTTGGTCACAGGAATGGACAAGAGGCAAAGCAAATCAACAGGATGTCAAAACAAGCACACAGCATCTCACATCTTTGATGCCTTGTCTTTTCAGATTCAGTGGGGATGCTTAGGATCCAAGGATTTTAGTGATGGGCCATTACAAAAACTGACAAGTGAAATAGCTTAGATGTGTAATCTCAATTTAAATCCTGTTGGAACAGTACTAATGCTTCTAGATCTAAGCTTGTTTTGGCTTCATGTAAATCTTGTAACAGATTATTGTATTATCTGTAACAATTGTTTGGAGTCTCAAGATGGATGAATGAATATATATTTCTTAATTACATATAAAAAAAACGTGGTAACTGTGGTGTGTCATGCAGAAAACTGCATTGTGTATATATATTTATCTGCCTTTCCTAGATGTCAGAGATGCCAAAGCCTGCCTTTATGAAGAAGAATCTGGATGAACTTGGAATAGGAACTTACCACAACATTGCCTTCATACATCCAGACACTCCTATCATTAAAGCCTTGAATATATTTGTAGAGAGAAGGATATCGGCTTTACCTGTTGTGGATGAGTCAGGTGTGTGTTGATTCTGCTGTACACAAACATAGTAAGATAAATTCTGTTGAAGCCTGGATTGATTTTATATATACATATACATATATATATATATATATATAAAATATTGTGTGTCATTGTGTTTATACATAATTTATGTATATATGATTAGAATATGTAGAATGATTATGCAAGATAGAGGCTGACAGACCTGGAAGGATTCATCATGGGTGGTGGGTTTTGATTTCGTTTTTTGTTTTGTTTTCTATCTTTCCTTCTTGGCCTCTCTGTGTCATTATAAAATAACAAATGAAAGCAGGACACAAGAAAACTTTTCTTCTATTGCAAGCAATTTATTAATACATTTTTTTCTTTCTAGGAAAAGTTGTAGATATTTATTCCAAATTTGATGTAATAGTAAGTATACCTTTTAAATTCCATTAAGTGTTTTTAATGTAGTGAGCAATTAGAAAATAATTTGCTAATATATGTTTTTATTGTACTTAATAAAATCGATGCAAAGATGTACTTTGAGTGGTAGTTCCAGCACAGTCCATTAGGGGGAGTTCGAGCCTGCAAATAAGAAAGATTGAAGACCTAACATTTGTTTTCAACTTGGATCTCTATAGCAGGGTCTACTTAATGGGAAGTTCAGACTAGTCAGTGTCCTCACCTGGCCTTTGAAAAACAAAACAGATGGTTTATTCTTTGAGTATATTCTGAAATCCATAGAACATCATCTTTCCTTTTTTCTTGTGGCAGAAAGAAGCAGGGTGAGTGACATCAAGCCAAATATTAGATAACAAAGTAAGGAGACTTTCATGGGCCTAATGCATAATCACAAAACGTTATCAATTAATCCAGTCTTTCATATGGTGTGTAATGTAGTTGCATCTATGACTGTTCCCAAAAACTGCAACTGAAGAGCATCTGCTTTGTTTAATATGTGACTTGGAACAAACTCAATTTACCCCTGAAATGTGTGTCTACTTGGTGCCAAAATATTTGCTTTGTTGAGTACTTTATCACTAAGTAGTGAGCAGTGTGCCTTGTTTTTCAGAACCTTGCTGCTGAAAAAACCTATAATAACCTAGATATCACGGTGACACAAGCCCTACAGCACCGTTCTCAGTATTTTGAAGGTGTTGTAAAGTGTAGTATGCTGGAAACACTGGAGACCATTGTTGATAGGATAGTGAAGGCTGAGGTGAGTTTTCCCTCTTTTTTTTTTTTATTTCCCCTCCCTGTAAAAGTTGTGTGACCAAACTAATAAATAGGTCAAATTTATCCTTCTGGAGTTATTTTGGTTACTTGAAGAAAATATGTTTTGTTCATGTTTATATGTGTAGGGATCAATTTGATTTCTTGATATACATATACTTAAAAGAATAGAAATGCTGTGAAACAAAGCCAGGGAATAAAGTCTTACAAAGAACTTGTTCACCAATTGTCTTGTAAATGACTCAGTGCTTTTTTCCTGTTCTTCTTGTGTGGCTTATCCTCTGATTTTAGTATTGGGAGCCTTCTTACACATGGATGTGAATGACTTCTTCAATTTTACAACATTTTGTTCATCTTTGGGGCCATAACTGTACATATGCTTAATATGAGTAGAATTCCCATGTTGTGAATAACCCTTCAGAACTTCCATTAGGCAATTTTGACATGCAGCTTCCTGCATCAGCTGGAGCTTCTTCCTGAAACTCAGTGATTTCAGCATTGCTGATGCACAGATTCCAAATGTGGCTGATCTAATTAATATCTTCAGAAGCTTTAGACATTTGGGTTTTCAGAACAACTCCTACCCTTTGGCTCAGTCTAAACATAGTGAGGCTATGCAAAAATGAGTCAGTCAAAGCCACAAGGGAGGCAGTAATTGATGCTATTTTTAGCTGCCAGACAAATGTTTGATCTCACTGGATGTGAAACAACTACATTGTCCATTTTTCTTGAATTCATTACACTGAGAGAAGAAAGAGACTGTGTGTATACATGCATTGAAAATATCACCAACATAGATTTGTCAGAAAGAAAATGCAAAACATATTCTCCCACTTTCCTACTCTCACAGTGTTTCCTCACAGTGCCAGCTGAGTGTGACTCTGCAAATACATTTGAGATCCTCTTTTTTTTCTTTTTGCTTTATCTGACTGGCAGCGAAGTTGTTGATCTCCACAATAAATTCACATCTGTATGAAGTCAAGACACTGCAGCTTTCTTGCTGTCACTTCTTCGAAAAGAGGAGAAATATTTTTCACTTTCTTCACAATTGCATTTGATTAGTTAGACTTGAAGCCCAAATTCATTTTAGGTAAGAAGTAAAGCAGTACCAAGGTCTCTACTTTTATACACTTCCTTCCAAGGATGACCTCTTTATGAGCTGGCTCAGCTATGACCCTTTGGTTGCACAGCTCCCAGCTTGAGCTGGGGTGCAGTGCTGAGATGAGGCCACTCTCCCATTCTGCAGTATTTCTAAGACATAGATCTTGGCTTGTCTGCCATTTCAAGTATGATTTTATTGCTGTCAGATTGCTGTGTGCCTTTAGCTTTTCACATCAGGAAAATCTCTCTCAAAATGTTTTCCCTGCTCGCAGGTTCATCGTTTGGTGGTAGTGAATGAAGCAGATAGCATTGTGGGTATCATCTCCCTTTCTGACATTCTGCAGGCTTTGGTACTCACACCAGCAGGTATGGATGTTGCATTCTGATGTTTGCCATAAGTCATTCAGTAGTGCATTCAGCTTGCTGGTCTTAGCTGCTATGACAACAATAATACATTGCTGATTTAAAAGTTTTTTAAGTTTGATTATACTCTTCAAACAAGCGTTTTTCTCTGCAAGTAAAAGCCAACTAAGTGCTTAATTATCTGTCTTTTGTCAGTCTTTTTGCTGTGTCAGAGATGTCACCCCATTATTATTCCAGTTATTCCAGTAGAACTCTAATGTATCTAAACTTGCTTTAACCACAGCACCCAACAATACATTTAATTATTTCTGCTACTTTTACTTGGATTGTTTTGTTGCTTTTTAGTTTTGCCCAAGTTACTGATCTGCTCTGTGTTCTTAACTGGAACTTCACTTTGGCTGTATAAATGACTTCAGTGCCACAAGGACTATGGCAAAGTCCTCTGGCTTTGTGAGAAAAACAGACAGCAAATGTCTTAAGATCACAGTTTTGCCTTCAAAATACCAGATTAAGGAAACAGAGCTGAACATATCCTTCAGGGGAGTTCCAAGGGGAGCTCCCACTCCTGTACTCTAGATCATGTGCTTCTAGTGCTTAGCTTGTGGCAGCACTCCCTCTCATGAGATCCCTATGTGAGCTGCTTTATCCATTGATATAATGGAAAATTTGGCCAGCAAAAAAGCTGTGGATTCATCAGGCTTTCACAAAAGAGCCCAGCCCTAGAGAGCAGGAGGTAGCACAGCGCAGGGGCAGGGCTGTGCTGCCAGCGAGGTTAGGTCTAGTTTGTAGAGTTCAGTGTGATTCACCTTTTTAAAGTGGATGTGTGAGGATAACCAGGTAAATCATGCCCTGTAAATGCCCTTTTCCCTTTACTGACTGGAAAGAAAAACTTATTGACTGACAGGAATTGAAACTGGTGTTCAGGGGGGAGGGGGAATCAGTTGTGACGTGAAAAGTGGGTGAATGTAATGGATTTTTCAGTGTCTGTGCTGATGTATTACAAATAGTTACTCCAGGTTGTTGGCAAGAGCTTCCTGCTCACTGGAGCTGGATGTTGAAGCCAGCTCACTGTAGGGGTCACTCATTGCCCAGAGCGTAGGCAATGCTTGGCAAGGAGGCACAGCACTACGTGGTTCTGCTGAACAGCTCTTTTGGATTTTTACTGTAAGCAGAATCTGCCTCTGAGCCAGAAAAATCAGTCAATGCAATGTAGTTCAACTGAATTCCTACCTTGTGTTTTTTTGTTTTTTTTTTTTTCCCCAAGTATCACCTCACTTTTTAAGAGCACTATGATGATTAAACTTGGCTCCCTGAGCAGATGGACAGGCTTACAGCATGGTGTTTTTGGGGAGTGGTACTTCAAAGGCTGTTGTGACTTAGCAAACTACCCTGCCAATGAAGTTAGAGGCAGTAATGGCCTCCAGGCCTTCCTCAACCTGTGTTAGCATTCAGCAGTCCTGAAGTGTGCTCTTTATGGATGGAGTCCAGTCCTAAGGTTCTGGTAACGTGGTCAGACAACACTTGTGGCATTCAGAATGAGCGGTGCCATTCCATGAGGCAGGTACTGTATGCATTAGGAAATCACATGTGCTTTCCTCTTCTGTTAACAGGTGCCAAACAAAAGGAGAATGAAAGTGAATGACTGCTGTGAATGTATAAACGTTTGTAGGAGAACTTGAACAAAGTTTCTGGGTCAAAGTTTGTCTCGAGAACAGTGACTGCAATAGAACAGAGCAGGATGGTTGAGAATGTGTTTTGGGACTTAGTGATGGATGATGAGTCTATTCCCCCCCAGTGATGTCGCAAAAAAACAAAGCAGCATGACAAAAGCTTATGTTACAATGTAGGCTTGTATTTCAAAACGTCTTCAGAACATTTGCTGGAAGACTTCACACGATGTCCTTCATTAAAATGCACTGTATTCTGAAACTTTTTCATTTTGTATTTGACAGAAGTCACTGGTCAGCAATGGATATATGTGACATAAGGCAAGTGTATGGCATATTCATATCATAGTGCCTTATGTCAAAATACAGCAATATGTCATCACTGTTGCCCATCACTGTCAAAGGAAGTATTGTGTTAAATGAGACACTGTATTTGAATGTGAAAGTCTTTAAACTTAAACCAAATCAGTTTCAGTTCTCATTAGACTTGTCATAAAAGCTGTAATTTGAATATCAGTAGACTTCTTTAAAACTTTAATGACAGTTTTGTGTTAAATGTCGCATTCTGAACCGAGATGTAAAACGAGACTGATTTTAAAAACAGCTTTATTTATTTTTACTTTCATGACAATTTTTTACACATCTTTGGTGGATAGCTAAAATTTCACCATATCCATTAATAAACTGTTGATTGTTATACAAACCAGTGGCAGATTTTTCTCATTATTTACAACGTTGGAGTTGTAGGGCTGTTGGTCAGTCCACGTGAGTTGAGTTGGAGATCCCAGCAGTGCTCTGTACTGTGCAGGCACCGTGTGGGCAAGGACGTGCCAGAAAACCAGGCTTTCTTCTGTGTTGAAGTGTAAAATGATGTCTGTACGACTAAAATGCAACTCTGTATTGTATGTGATTTGTACAGAAGCCGAGGAGTGAGGAAGGCCGTGGGGTTTTGCTGATGTAAATGTACTGTAACATTTGATGATGAGATTTTTATAATTGTCAATGGAAGAAATTAAACCCTCCAACATCCGTTTGGTGTTAGCCGTTCTCGCCATGTTTTTCTGCACCTATGATGTATGTGTGTTTGGGTAATGTAAGCTATGCAGAGATGTTCCCATTTTCCTCCAGCTTATAAGTGCTGTGGCACAGTGCAGGTAGTGCTGCCTCTGACGTGCTGTGTTTCCAGTGGGAATGTGTCCCCAGAGTAATGGCACTACATTGACCTTTTATTTTTCCATGTATAAACACTGAAGCAAAAGGTGAACTGTTTGCAGTTTGCTGACAACACGCGAGGTTTTTAAGAGCAATGAAAAGCCCTTTCTTCAGCCTTCACTTCCTGCAGGAAACTTTGGAACAAAATGTGTGAAAGTTTTCTTCCTCCTTATGTTTTTCATGTGTAAAAATGTTCTTGCACGCAGGGACAAACTCTTCTCTTACACTCTCATTGCAGACCATTGTCTTGTCCAGCATCTTTTCTGACTAATGACCTGCTAGCTGTGCTCTCTGTGCTTCTGGGAGGCACGGAACTGAGAAAGCAGCCAGCTGGTGGGGCCAGCTGCACACTGCTGCCATCACAGACTCCAGCAGTGCAGCTCTGCTCGTCTTTGCTGGGGAGAGGAGCAACGGAAACCAGAAATAGCAGCTCTTGTGCTTCGTGAGCTGCGTGGAAAGGGATGGTTGGTGGTAGATTGGAATCTCACGTGGTCATCACTACTTGTAAATGCCATCCAAGCTGCACAGGTGTGGCTTCTTGAAAGCCTGCTTGCTGTTCCAGCACCAGAATTACAGCCTTCCTTAGAAGGTATGGGATGGAATTGCTTAAGTGCAGCACTCTATCTCGCTCTGCCTAGCACAAGCCTGCAGGAACAACATTTTCAGTCCTACATTAGGGTAGTTCTGAAAAAATAAAGGGTTGAGCCACTGATAGATGCTTTTTTTTGTACATTATATTTAGCACAAAGTCTTTTGGCCATGTTCCATCCAGACAGCTTTGTGCTTGTCTGCATAAATTAGTATGCAGGGAGCCAGAATGAATTTGCAGTTTTCAAACAGCCATGCATAGACTCCCTGTTTTACCATTATTACAAGTGCCATGCATGTGTTATGGACACAGAGCTAGCAGAATCATGGAAAGCTGGTTTCCTCAGTGATGCAAAACTTTATTCAGAGGATTTCTACCCTTGCTTTCTGAAATTCAGTTCTGAGTATTAATTTAAGCGTGACAAAAGTGTCATCAAAAAGGCATTTTCCTTAACCATGCTCCATGTCCTGGTGCAAGTACCTGTTACACAAAACTAAACAAACCATGTTGTTTTAATGCAGATCAGTTTACTACAGAGCTGGGAAACTGCTTGTACCAGCTTAACGAAGGGATAGAAGTAAATGGGGGTAGAGAAAGGAGGGCTGACTCGGCAGCAGTGCAGCATGTTGTGATGCCAGAGCACCTAAAGCTTTCATCTAGGACACTTCCCTTTCACGTAGCTAGGGAAAAACAGACAGCAGTTGTTACCTATAGAGCTGACACCACAGTGGTGTTCCCCAAAATTCCTTTTCTTTACATAGATGTGGTGATGCTGCAGGTGGAGGTCTCAGGGAGTTCCTCCTACAGCTCTATGGACTGTTCCATAGCATAGATTGTCATTCCCAGCAGGTGAGGTGCTGAATCACAGAATCACCAAGGTTGGAAAAGACGTTCAAGATCATCCAGTCCAACCATCCACCTATCACCAATAGTTCCCACTAAACCATGTCCCTCAACACAAAATCCAGCCGTTCCTTGAACACCTCCAGGGTCTGTGACTCCACCACCTCCCTGGGCAGCCCATTCCAGTGCCTGACCACTCTTTCAGAGAAGCAGTATTTCCTAACATCCAGCCTAAATCTCCCCTGAAGCCATTCCCTCCAGTTCTATCACCAGTTACACGAGAAGAAGTGGATTCCATTCATCCAGCCGGATGGTAAAGCCTACGTGATTGATTCCTGTGCTGCCCTGTGTGTTTCCTTGCCAGCAAGAGATGTCTGCAAAAGATAATTATTCTAAAGTACTTCTTGGTCTTGGGAGAAAGCAGACGATGTTCGCTATTGACCTGTTGTGGATGTTTAAGTATAAGGAAATGTCTTCGTAGAACTATGTTTGCCATTATTTTTTTAATTAAGCTCGGCCCCTCAGTATTTTGCACTATCTAGAGATGCTGTGAGCTCATTACTTCAGAAAACTGTCCTTTGCTGACATCGATCATTTGGCTGATAAAAACACTTTCATGTTGTTTTACTTCTGGACTCCTTTCAGCTAAAAGGTCTGAGGTTTGTAAGCCTTGCAGACAGTATTTGCTGTTTACTAGCAACTGAATTGCAACTGTTGAGTCTGAGGCCTATTCATCTCCAGTCCTACAGAATATTGCTCTGCTGGGAATGTTTGGGTAACGCAGAAAGAACCAACATTGCTTTCCAAGGCCCGAGTTCTTGTCCTCCCAGCAGGCGAGGAATCTGACTGAAGCAGTTCCAAAACTGCTTTGAGAACACACTTTGCCATCTTTCAATTGAGCTCAGGGTAAGCTGGAGTCATTCAGTTTCGGTCCAAGCAGAGGTGAAACCACGCGTGCCTAATCCTGCTGAACAGCAGGCTCTCCGTGTTCAGCTCTCAGGAGCAGCCAGTTTGCTTCAGAACCTTCACACCTTATGTGCTCCCACATTAAATGTTTACTAGGGGTAATCTCCAGGAGAAAACGCCATTCTGAATAGTTTCATAGTACCCTTGTATTCACATCATGTGCATTTTGCAAAAAACACGTTCTGCAGACAATGCTTTTTACTCTTAACTTCAGGTCTAAATTTAAAGGCAGTTTTGAGTATCACTTTATTGGCACTCATGATGATTGCACTGATTCCCACTGAGGTGCATGCAAAGAGGTGACAGGTACACATACATCAAGCTGATCCCTGGGGTGTCCCTGTCAGCAGTGAATGGCAGAAGCCCATAACATCAATAGTCTCAGTGATGGGAGTTGCAGATAGCATTTAAAGCAGAATTATTTCCTTTTTTTTTTTTTTTCCCCTACCATTATTTTGCCAGTATTCTAACTGAATATTGGAGAATATGATCTTTATCAAAATCCATGAGGGGCCAGGAACAAGTGCAGGATGGAACTGGGTGTACTTTCTAACTTCAGTGGGCAGCAAAGTGTATGCCGTACAAGTTGGAGCACTCAGTGCTAACATTGGATGCAATTCCAATAAGTCCTCAGGAAGGTGCTGATTTGCCAGAGGATTGAGCAGGTAATTAAATTGGTAATTGCTGTTATAGGAACTGAATGTACAAGTCAGATGTGTTTTGCATTTGGAACCTGAGTAACACTGTGTTCATGGGTTTGTATGTGCTGGATTGCCATAAAAACACTTAACTGCTGGGTTATGTTTCCTAGAGGAAATTCATCGCAGCTTTTTCTCCATCACAGCGAAGCAGACAGGCAACAAAAGACAGACGCTTTCCAGTTTCTCAGCCTCAACATCTGTTCCTGATCTCACTGCATATACATGCTCTATTTGTGCCGGCACTTTTTGTTTTGGAACCTAGACCATGCCTGATGTGTTGCATTTGTTGACCATGTCTGTTGGTAACTTGTTTACAATAAAATGAATACACCTTATCAACGATTGTATTCTTTGTATAACCAGTACAACCATTTGATTTGAAGGAGCATCTGTTTCAAAACTGGCTTGGAACACACCCTAAGCATGGGTGCCTGGTGTCAGTAACTCATTCCAGTGTTTTGTGGACTCCTTTGTAGTTCACAGGATAACCTGCAAGCACTCTAGGAACGAAGATGCTGGAGTAGTGCTAGGGAAGGGCAAAGGAAAAGCCCTACTGCTAATGCTGCTCCAGCCTGCTGCAGGGAAACCTCAACCAGTACAGGAAGCGTTTCAGCTTATCCCCAGTAGGAGAAATTCCTGATGGCATAAGGAATAGCCACTTCCTTCTAAAGAACCAGTGAAAGAAAAGAAAGTTGTAGGTTTTTCCTCATTTTAAGACACACCAGGAAGGATGAGCTGTGCGTTCCTGCCCCACCTGCTGAGCAAGCATGGATACTATCCTAGGATGGAACATCTCCGCTGCAGTTAGAAGCAATAGGTAAATCAGCTGGTTGGCAGCAGAAAATCTGAAGTACTGAGATCTCTTTATAGACAGTGAACAAGTGGAAGTTAACAGGAATGAGACAAATAGACAAAGGTCCAAAAAGTGAGGTAAGAGAACAGAATAAAGGGAAAGGCCTAATCAATAGAAGCAGGGTGTCAAGGAGGAAGCATAAACAGAGAAATAAAAAAGTAAAAATTGCTGCTTGCCAGAATACCTAAATACTACAGACAAGTAATATGAAAGGATAATGAAATTGAAAGTGCAGCTACCATGACCTTCATGCATGTTTCCAGACCCATTTACATTGCTGCAGATTGGATTTCTACATGCTATTTTTCTCCCTCAGCCTGACCGTTCTCCCTAAAGGGAATACTCTAGGGTGATGAAAAAAAAGCAGTAACCTATTTTGTGACGTGTGGAAATGAAAGAGGTTGGATGTAGAATCAGGGAATGATATCCAACCCCACAGCTCAAAGTACCTTGACCAACTACCATTCTCTTGAATGGTTATGTGACGTTTCCCACGTTACCAGTACTCAGCCATGGAGATCCCGTAATCCACAGGATTATAGGCCAGGTTGGATGGGGCTGTGGGCAGCCTGACCTAATGGCTGAGTCAGCATTTAGCAATCCTGCCACAGCAGGGCCTTGCAACTGGGTGATCTCACAGGTCCCTTCCAACCCAAGGGATTCTGTGATTCTATGAGATGGGCTCAAGTTACGCTAGGAGAGGTTCAGGTTGAATATCAGGAAGAACTTCTTCACGGGGAGTGCAATCAAGCAGTAGTATAGGCTACTCAGACAGTGAAATCCCCATCCCACCGCCCTAAGAGATGAGTTGCGTCCGTCAGAGATCGCGCACACCACCCGCCCCACAACCCACGCCGCTCCCAACCGCCCTCTGAAAGAGCACCACTGCGCACGCGAGATTTTCAAGCCCCGTCCAGCCAATCCCCTCCCGCGCAGCTCCCTAACCCCGCCTTCTCACTTTGAACGCCGATCTCA